CTCTCTCTGCTTAAAGGAGATTAGCATGTGTTAAGGAAGTGTTAAAGACAAGCTAACACCAAAATGAGATTTTATACTTCATTAAAAGAAGTATATGAAGACGTATATACAGAAGAATTATGCAAATCAACTGCACCTCAATTAAAAAAATAAAGCAGAAGAATTACAAGGGTACTGGAAGTGGTAACAACTGCATATTGTAATTTGATGTCATTCCACACATATGAGAATACCACCCCAAATGGCCTTTCCTACACTTTAAAAATACTGGATTACTCTGAATGCTTTCGTGAGGTCTCCGGAGCACAGACGAGACGTGTTGGGTGAGGTGGATGTGTGAGGGTGGACATGGCGTCTGGAACCTGGCAGCTGAGGAGCAGCAGGGACATTTTCATAACTGCGAAGTGAAATTTGGCCAGGATCACCCCATCGGATCAGCCTTTTCTGGATCTAATAATGCTTGTTGAGGTCCCTAGGAGAAATAATTTTTATTTTAATTGAAATTCTTTGATCCTCTTTTCATAACACTACAGAATTATAATAAGATCTGAAAACCCCTTTGTGTGGGAAAGAAACAAAGGGAAAAATCTGTTCTAGAGGATGTTGCTAGAACACTTAGCACGTTGCGTGGTAATCCTATGTTTATGTGTCTGTCTCCCTCACTTGACTTGCACCCCCTCCCCCAGGGGCAGAGATCTGTTACTTTTCTCTGTCTTCTGAGTATCTGGTGGAAAGACTGGGACTTTACAGTGCTCAGTGTTTGCTGTGTGAATGGCTGGACAGTACGGTGGTGGAAGGGAAGAAAAAAATCAGATACCCTTGTGTGCTTCTGACCTGTGTTTTCTTAATGCGACGCAACGTAGCATGGTCATTAATCTGAGGTTAGGCAGACTTGAAGTCTTGCCTGTTAAGTGGAGATAGTAGTAGCACCTGCTTCCCAGGACTGGCGTCAGGATTAAATGAGCCAACAGACACAAAGCCATTAGAACACAGTGATTAGCATGTAGTAAACACTTAGTCGATGGTAGGTATCATTGCTGGTGTTACTGATATAATCACACACAGGAATTATCAAATGTTTGTATAGAACGGACGCTGTGAGTTTTAGCTGCCCGTAATCTATTTTCCTTTCTTCAGGTAGTATGACCCTCATTTTCCTTTGGGGGACACTTTGCCCCTACTCTCAATCCACGTGATTTCAGTGTGACTCACATCTAGCCAATCAGTGCAGCCCAGTCTCCTGGCTACAGCTGGCTTAGTGATGAGCACATGACCTGGCCAAGCCAATGAGACCGGATCTCAGGACCTTCACCAGAGATACTGAGGAAGAGGAACTTTTTTCTACTGAGCTTGCTAAGCTGGCAGAATTTAGGCCATCGACGCTGGTGACCATCCTTGTCATCTCAAGCACAGAGCTTGCCTGAGAATGAAGCCCAAAACGAAGAAAAGCAGAGAGCCAAAAGATGTAGAGAAGGAGTTTGAGTGACACTGTCTGAAAATCAGGATCTAGCTGTGCCTAAAGGTAAATCATTGATTAGTTTAGGGGTTTTTTTGTTTGTTTATTTCTTTTTCACTTAGGTCAATCTGAGTTGAGCTTCTGGCAGTGGTCACAGAGAGCCCTAATATACATAAGGAGTCCGAGAATGTGTGTATCTTCATCTTTTTTTTGGACCAGACTTATTTGGAGATTGAGTTTCACCCATTCAGTTCCACAAGTGGGCGTTAAGGGCACTGTGGAGAGTATGGGGAGACCAAATAAAAATAAACATAAGACTGCCTCTGCCCTCAAAGTTCACCTCTAGAAGGGAATACAAACTGTACTTTACAGTCACACCTCGTGTAGTTGAGAGACCGCGAGAATAAGAGAACAGGAAATAGAGAAAGGTCAGTTCTGCCGTGGGACTGTCTGCAAGAGAAGGCAGTGGGGTGCTTTACCACAAAATAATTTGCAGACATTTAACAGTATTCTCTTGCCTGGATTCTGGAAGCCATTTACAGGATGCTTGTTTCAATTAGATTTTAATCACCCGCAGCTCGTGTATTCCTTTAATGAGTGCCTGATGTTACCATGCAGAGTGAAGTGTGTTTTACTGCCTGCGCTCAATGAGTGCAGTCCTGCCTCGTGGACACCTGGAAGGCTGTTCCCACAAGCACTGCGGAGACGGTAAGGGGCAGGTGTCTGTGGGAACAAACAGAAGCCTGTCGCTCACACACCGATAGAGGGAGCATGTCACTCAGTCACAGCTCCTTCCTCCTGCCATCAGCAGGTGTGTGATTTCAGCCAGGTGGGCTATGAGGTAAGGGTGTCATGTTTGCCACTGCTTGCTTTCAAAAGCAGCAGAAATGCCAAGCCCTACCCACTTGGAGCTCTGATACACAAAATGCCCCATGTGTCTGCTGCTTAAAGCCTTTCAGCTACTCCTCACCTGCCCTTTCACCTTGGAACACAAGGAAGGTTCTTCATGAGTGTGTCAGGCATGGTTCTAGGTGCTTGGGAGACAAAGGTAGGTAAAACCTGCTTTCTACCCTTACGCAAGAGAAACCCAACTCAGACTTACAGGGAATACAATTAAAAGTGTAATGATTTATGGGACTGAAAATTCCAGGCAGTAGATTTAGGCATCGCTAGATCCAGCTCAGCTTATGTTCAGGGTTTGTTTTTTTTTCCCATTTCTCAGCTGTATTTTCCTCTGTGTTGGCTCCTCTCTTGGGCAGGCTCTCTCCTATTGGAAAGTGGCCCCAGTTTTTTTCCCCTTATGGGGACTCCAAGTTGTTCCAAGTTTATATTCTCCCAAATTCATATTCAGAAAAAAAAAGAGATTCTTCCTTCTAAACAGTTATGGGGGAAAATAAAGTCCTGAATCTGACTCTAATTGGCCCCAAATGGGTCACATGCCCATCCTAAACCCACCATGGTTTTGGAATACACTGATTGGCTCAAGTTTGGGTCTGGGGACCACGCTGAAGAAGGGGATGGCATAGGCCGCGTCAGAACCACATGGGCTGAGTCACGGGTGGGAGGAATTGGCTCTTTAAAGGGAATTCAGGGTGCTGTTACTAGGGGAAGAATGAATGAATACTATTCAAGCACAACCTACATGCACTAGAATCTAATCTTCCTTCAGCTGTTGCAATAAGTTCATTGCCTAGTCATAATACAGAGTGTTCTGTAAGGAGTCCAGAAAATTGTGTTAGAGAGAAAGATTTTGGAAGATCTCTTCAACATTTTCCAAGGGACACAATACTCTGATTTCCAGAATTGATTCCAGTTATCCAGAGAAAAGTGTATCTGCTTATTTGCAGACTAGAGAAAGGAAAGATAGATAATAGAGAACAGAAACACTTCTTAGGAAGAGCCAACTCCACCTGCTTCAATTACTTGCTTAACAAGCCATCTTCTGAACTTAGTCTCTTGAAAGGTCCCACCTGGGACACTAGGAGAGCGACTCTGGCACAAATCACTAGGGCTGGATGGTTATCTTCCCAGGCATAGATGGATAGGGTAGCATTCCATCATATGTACCTATTCCTGGTCATTCCCCTGAGCTTTCACCCTCTGTGAAAAGATCAAATCAGGGAGTTAATCTTGAAAAGCCTCCACAAGTGGAGACGGTATCTCAATAAGGCAAGCTGGAGGAACCAGTCTATTTGCTACAACATTGCCCTTTCAAAAAAGCAGAGGAAATGGCAATATTTTCATCCCTACCAGTTTAGCTTTCTGGGTTGCTGTAAGTTAAAAGTATTTTTAAAAATAGCCATTATATATTCATGTTGGCCACCTGTAGTAGGTTGAATTATTTGGGACTCCAATTTTTTTTTTTAAATAAACAGAAGTGAAGTTTTTATTTTATTTGGGGCCCTAATTTTTCAACCCTCTCTGTAGTCACACCATTTGCCTAGGACTTTTTGATCTCTCCCACCAGGGACAAAATGTACTTCTCCACTCGTTGCCGTGGGGCCTGGCCATGTGACTTGCCTTGGCCAATGGGGTGTTGCCAGATATGACGCAAGCAGAGGGCTCAACCTATGTTTGTGCAGTTGGTGGTACTTTCTTGCACCACTGCCTCAGCCATGAGAAGACACTGTTTAGCATGTTGCTCCAAGGAGAATGAGACATACCCGAGGCAGAACTTGACTCAACCCTCAGCCTGGAGTAAAGTCCAGTTGACCCCAACTGATACCACCCAGCCCCTACTGACCTGAAGACACCTGTTGGCAGCATATAAATAATTTCAAACACATAGAAAATTTTCAAGAATAGTCCAGAGAACATCTTTATGTGGATTTACCTATTGTTTTTATCATCTATTCTCCATATATGTCATTTTTTCCTGAAACATTTGAGACTAAGTTACATATATCATTATCTCTTACTCCTAAATCCATCAGTGTGTTCTACCTAAAAACAAGGATGCTCTCTTTCATAATCACAGGGCAACTGTTAACTGCAGGAACATTCACACTGATACAATATTTTAACCTACTGTACCGTTCATATTCCAGTTTTATCAATTGACCCAATAATGTCTTTTATAGGCTCAAGTCTCTTTAGTCTCCTCTAACCTGGAACAGTTTCTCAGCTGTTCTTTGACTTGAATGACATTGACATTTTAAAAATATGCAGCCTCTCCCCTCTTTTTAGCATAGAGTGTTCACCATTTGAGTTTGGCTGCTCTATCCTCATGATTCTATTCAGGCTATACGTCTCCAGCCAGAGGACTACAGAAGTGATGTCATTCTCAGAGGGTACCATTTGGAGGCACATGATATCCATTTGATCGTCTGGTCCAGGTACTGTGCATTTTTTTCTTCTGTATAGTTTCTGTTTTTCCCCCTTGCAACTAAGAAGCAATCCAAGGGGAGATATTTTAAGACGATGCAAATATCCAGCTCCTCATCAAAATTTTCTTCATATATTTAGCCTCCAAGGATGCTTTTTGCTGGAACCAGTCTACTATTGTCTTAGCTCAGACTGCTGTAACAGCATCCCATAGACTGGGTGGCTTAAACAAGAAATGTTTATTTCTCTCTGGAAGCTGCAAGTCTGAGATCAGGTTGCCAGCATGGTCCGGTTCTTGGTGAAGACCCTCTTCCTGGTTTACAAATGCCCGTCTTCTCTTTGTATCCTTGTAGGACAGAAAGAAGAAGGGCTAGTTCTCTTCCCCTTCATGTAAGACATTAATTCCATCATGGAGGCTCTACTCTTATGACTTAACTATCTCCCAACAACTCCGCCACCTTAACAATATTAACCTCCCAATTCGGGAACATGGGCTTTTTATCAAAATTTAAAACTTTCATGCTTCAAAGGGCGCTATCAACAAAATGAGGAGACAATCCACAGTGGGAGAAAATATTTTCAAATCATAACTCTACTAAGGGACTTGTAATCAGAATATGTGAAGAAACCTTACTACTCAATATAAAAGACAAATACTCCTATTCATAAATGGACAAAGGATCTGAGTAGACATTTATCCAAAAACAGATATACAAATGGCCAATAAGCACATGAAAATACACTCAATATTATTAATCATTAGGGAAATGCAAGTCAGAACCTCAGTGGGATACCTACATACCCAAAATGGCTTGCACCATTCTATAGTCCCTTATAAACTGCTAGTGGGAATATGAAATGGTAACTGCTGTTTTGAAAAACTCAGTTTGCCAATCCTCAAAAACTTACACATAGAGTTACCATACGACCAAGCAGTTTCACTCCTAGGTGTATAGTCGAACAATTGAAAACATACATTCACACAAAAACTTGTAAATGAATGTTCATAACAGCTTTATTCAGTATAGCCAGAAAGTGGGAACAACCTAAATGTTCATCTACTGGTGTAGAGATAAACAAAATGTGGTATCGCCAATGGAATATTAGCCAGCATCAAAAGGAATGAAGTACTGATGTATGCTACCACGTGGATGAACTTTGAAAACATGATGTTGCATGAAAGAAGCCAGTCATAAAGACCTCAAATGATTTCATTTGTACAATATGTCCACTAGCAAGTTTCAAATATGCAGTGCAGCATTATTAACTATAACCCCTATGCTCTGCCTTACATCCCCATGACTTAAAACTGAAAGTTTGTACCTTTTGACTCCACTCATTTTGCTAACACCCCATCCCCTGCCTCTGGCAATCACTTATCTGTTTTCTGTATTTATGAGTTCCATTGCTTTTTTTTTTAAGATTCCACATATAAGTAAGATCATATGGTATTTATCTTTCTCTGACTTATGTCACATAGGATAATACCCTCCAGGTCCATCCATGTTGTCACAGATGACAAGATCTCCTTTTTATGACTGAATGCTATTCCACTGTAGATAGATACCATATTTTCTTTATTCATCCACTGAAGGTCACTTGGGTTGTTTTCACATCTTGGCTGTTGCAAATAGTGCTGCAGTGAACATGGGGGCATGCATCTTTTCAAGTTAGTGTTTTCATTTTCTTCACATAAATACCCAGAAGTGGGATTGCTAGATCATATGGCAGTTCTATTCTTAATTTTTTGAGGAGTCTCCAGTTTTCCATAGTGGCTGCACCAATTTACTTGAATCCTATGCTTTAAATTGATGAAATATAGGGTATATGAATTATATCTCAATAAAGATGTTATAAAGTAGAAAAATACACACGCACCTGCACGCACACACATACACAAATAAGGCACTGTTTCTACAGAAAGAGTCTTAAGTGGATTGGGCCATGCAGTACGTTTAGGTGATGCTAGATGTGAACAGGAGAGTTAATAAAGAGTCCCCACGGAGTTTGGAGCATTGGTATTGGCCCAGTTTTACAGAGGAGGAAACTGAGTGGTACAGAAATTCAAGATCATGTAGCTAGCACAGGACAGAAGCCAGATTCCAAACCAGGAAGTTGACAGCAGAGTAGAACCCCCTTAACAACCACATTACTCTCTCCTGGGAATTTGTGTCTTTGTTCTAAGATAAAGGCAAGGTGGAGAATACCAATGCCTAAGATTCTCTCAGTGACACTGCTCTCTTCTCCTAGTGCCAACTCCTCAGTGCTCATCAGAAAGCACTTGGGTGCCTACCATCTGTTTAATAGACATTATGAAGTCTTGGCTTCTGCAATTTCTAGAGCAAAATTTAGGACAAAGCAAGCCCTTGGAAGGTATCAGCATGCAGCTTCTCTCCTTCAGGGAAGTGATGATGTGATGTCTGTCTGCCAATGTGAACAGCTTAGCTGAGAATGATCGGATAGAAGGCTTTATGACACAGTACCTGAATATCAGAGCAACTCTGAAAACTCATAAAGATGTTGCTCATATATAAGCTCTTTGAATGTTCATGACCACCCAGGACAACACTAATAAATTTAATATGGCAGACTTCTATTTCTTACAAGGCACTTCCGTGTTTTCATATAATACAGTGTTTTGTTTATTTACTGAACACTCATTTTTATCTGATTATTCAAGTGAATAGTAAGACAGATTTTTGTCTTCATTTTGGACTATTTCTGTGAGCTAGATTCCCACATGTGGGATAATCCTGAGTCAAAGGGTATGAACATTTTTAAGGCTCTTGATCTGTTTCCAAATTGCTTTGCAAAAAGATTGAACCAATTTACACTCTCACCAGCAGTGTATGAAAATGTATTTCAATGCAAATTCCAAGCTGCATAGTCTCTTTCCTAGGTATTTCACTTAAAAACATTTTTTTTAATGTTAAGCAAAAGCTGACCCGGAATGTTAAAAAAAGAAAGCCTGATTATAAAAATGGAGCAGATAGTTAAAACAAGTCTTAGGCAGAAATAAGCTTTAGAAGAGTCCAAGTAGAATGACAAAAAAAAAAAATTAAGGCATCACAGCAAGAGCACAATTTTGAAGGGACCATTAACAATTTGGCTTAGATTTGGATAGCCACCGCCAAGAATGTCGGGCGTGGTCAGTGTACCAAACTGTAGTTTAGAAAAAGTTGGATATTTTATTTATTTACATTTCACTTTGTTCTAAAGACAACTTAAGATACTTAAAGGGAGAATCTTGAGAAGTAGCATTGTGTCTAAATAATCAGTCCTGTGAATATGAAGCAAACTCACGCCCCCTGAACTACGATCCGCGCTTATCTCTCCCAACACCGGATGCCTCTCCTCCGTAATCTTAGTTTGCAACCACAATGACCGGCTCTACGTCTAATAATGGGGCACAGAGATTTTAGGGGGCAATGGGGGTGGGGCAGGCAAGAGGAAGCCCGGACTTGGGGTACCAACCCATGGAACTCTACACAAATGCAAAAAGCGCTGGGACTTCAACCTTCAGCCAGAAGTCCCCCTCCGCCAGCTATCTGGGTACCCGCCGCGTCCCCGCCTGCGAGTCTGCCGTCACTACTTCTCTGTGCCCCGCTCCGACACCCGCTTCTACCAGAAAGGAGAGCTGACGCTCGAGGAGTCGTCAGAAACTCGATTTCGCTCCTTTGCACTTCTCCTTTCTCACTTTCGCTCCTCCTCTCCTGCTCTCTCACCGTTTTTCCCTTTCTTCTTCCCGTCTTCCTGTCTCCCTCCTCCACGCCTGCTCTCCCAGCCTCTTCCCCGGGACCGATTCCACCCGCCTCCACCTCGTCACCTCCTTTCCTCCGGCTCAGAGCCCCCTCCTCTCTCCTCCACGCCTCCCCTCCCCTCCGCCCGCGTCCCCACCAGCAGCCAATCAGTGCGCGGCCACCCGCGGCCCCGCCCTCCCTGGCGGTTCCGGGCGG